CGGTGACTACTTTACAACACACACAGGGACCATGGGGAACAGACGTAGCCCCCCTCCAGAAGGAAGGACAGTGTCAGAGATGATTGGAGGATCTACAGCCGAGTGATACACAAATAAGATACATTGTTGTTAAAAATATAAAAAAATAAAAACTTATTTTACTCCCTGAACTGCAACTCCATTTATAACATTTGTATCATTTGTGTTTTCTGGATTTCTGGTGGATATTCCGTCTCTATCATGTAAAATACACCGATGATAACAATGATAGACCTTTCTTTTCTGTGTCATCTGCAGGGATCCCGTCATTATTTTCATCACTGTAACAACTAAAGGTTGTCACGATCGTCTGCATCGCTCTCGGTCACATGACTTATATCATAAAATGGGGTTATTCACCTACATTGACCCTTCGTTATCTTATCGCAGAGCCGGGAAATAAATCAGATAAAACAGTTTCCATAACAACAACATTTATTTCTTGTATTTCAAAGTATAAAGAGCCTGGAATGTTCCTCCGCCAGTAACGGGACTTCGCCCTGGTCCCGGCGGACGGATGGCGGGAACTGTGGGCGGAGTTGATGCGGACTCTGGAGCGCTCTCTCTCTCTCTCTGGCGCTATTCCTCCGCAGATTCTCAGCGCGGTTATAGGGGCTGTCAGGGTCAGAGGTCAGAGTTGGATGGATGAAATAATATTCTGCTCCCCGATGAAGGTTCAGTGATGAGACCTCCGAGTTCCCAGCTCCTCCCCCTGACCGAGGACAATGCGTCCTGCTCTACCTGCTAGGAGAAGACAGCAACAGGAGAGAGAGACTTTGTGGTGGGGGCGGAGCTGGGAACACCGTTACCGAGTCCCCAAGAGATAGAAGAAATCCTAGTGTGTATATGAACCGGCCAGTCTCCACCCACAAATGAAATATCAGACTGCAGTGACATTGGACGTCAGTCACCCGGCTGCTGCTAAATGCTTTGGAATGGAGATTTGTGAATGTACGGCCTGACCCCGAGGGATCTACAGCTCGCTGCGCTCTGCCGCCGCCGCCTCCGCCATCTTCTGGAGTTTCTCAGGGAGAATTTTGGTCCAGAATTCATATTTTGCGCCTTTCAGTTTCTGAGCGGATTTCTGCTGAATATCAATCTGCAGATAATCCTCATCCCCGTCGTAGCGCGGCCACTGAGGCAGCCCGGGCCCGTTCGGGTCACTAAGAGATACAGAGGAACAAATGGGCAAAAAGCAAAGTCATACCCGAGGAGCTTACACTCTAATGTCCCCTCCCCCCACAGTCACATCAGTCTCTGTACAGAGGAGCTTACACTCTAATGTCCCCTCCCCCACAGTCACATCAGTCTCTGTACAGAGGAGCTTACACTCTAATGTCCCCTCCCCCACAGTCTCCAGTACCAGAACCCCAATTATTTTCGTCTTACCCGGTCCGGGCGAAGTTGCCCCAATATTTCATGACTTTCTTACTCAGGATCTTCTCGTCTTCCTCCGTCTCACCTGGTGGAGAGAAGAGAAGTCACACAAACCGGAAACTTCTACAGACGCCCAGATACAACGCAGCGATTGGCCGGCTATCAGATGGGTTCACAGATGACCAATCACTGACCCAGTCTATGAAGTCTGCGGGGTGAACGGCACCAGCCGCATTTCATTACCTGAGAAGAGAATATCCTCCGCCAGGAAGGGTCCTCCGATCACAAAGAACAGCTCATCGCCGTGGTCGGCCTTCACAAACTCAGGCTTAGAATCTTTAAAGAATGACGGACGGCGGCGGAACTCATAGAAGTAGACGGAATATCCGGAATCTGGGAGACAAGAAGGTGTCAGGAGCGGAATGCAGAGAGGAAACTGGAATTATACCCAAATCTAGGCAGAAGCTACTTTCCTGCTGCCCCATCCCCCAATCTAATAGGCAGAGCTGCCAATACTTACCTACCAGCATCCCTGGGCTCCCTTCATCTGCCAGCATCCCTGGGCTCCCTTCATCTGCCAGCATCCCCTGGCTCCCTTCATCTGCCAGCATCCCTGGTCTCCCTTCATCTGCTGGCATCCCCGGGCTCCTTTCATCTGCCGGCATCCACAATTTTCCTTCATCTGCCAGCATCCCCGGGCTCCCTTCATCTGCCAGCATCCCTGAGCTCCCTTCATCTGCCAGCATCCCTGAGCTCCCTTCATCTGCCAGCATCCCTGAGCTCCCTTCATCTGCCAGCATCCCTGAGCTCCCTTCATCTGCCAGCATCCCTGAGCTCCCTTCATCTGCCAGCATCCCTGAGCTCCCTTCATCTGCCAGCATCCCTGAGCTCCCTTCATCTGCCAGCATCCCTGAGCTCCCTTCATCTGCCAGCATCCCTGAGCTCCCTTCATCTGCCAGCATCCCTGAGCTCCCTTCATCTGCCAGCATCCCTGAGCTCCCTTCATCTGCCAGCATCCCTGAGCTCCCTTCATCTGCCAGCATCCCTGAGCTCCCTTCATCTGCCAGCATCCCTGAGCTCCCTTCATCTGCCAGCATCCCTGAGCTCCCTTCATCTGCCAGCATCCCTGAGCTCCCTTCATCTGCCAGCATCCCTGAGCTCCCTTCATCTGCCAGCATCCCTGAGCTCCCTTCATCTGCCAGCATCCCTGAGCTCCCTTCATCTGCCAGCATCCCTGAGCTCCCTTCATCTGCCAGCATCCCTGAGCTCCCTTCATCTGCCAGCATCCCTGAGCTCCCTTCATCTGCCAGCATCCCTGAGCTCCCTTCATCTGCCAGCATCCCTGAGCTCCCTTCATCTGCCAGCATCCCTGAGCTCCCTTCATCTGCCAGCATCCCTGAGCTCCCTTCATCTGCCGGCATCCCCTTGCAGTGACCGGTCTTTATTATAGGAGGGGGCGGAGACAAGACCAGTCACCCTGCACAAGGAGAGAGAGCTGCAGTGACCGGTCTTTATTATAGGAGGGGGCGGAACAAGACCAGTCACCCTGCACAAGGAGAGAGAGGAGCAGTGACCGGGCTTTATTACAGGAAGCTCCGAGTCTCACACTGTGGAATCACACAATGTAGTTTGTTACAAATTGTTTATCTCCTATATACTGGTGTATATATGTGTACTTCCTGTGTGTTTAGCTGTCGGTCCCTTTAAGGCCCCCGGAGACCAGGGACAGCCCCCGTTGTATTGATCGGATGGTCCGGAGTTCCCAGTTCAGAGGCTCAGAATGTTTCCAGCACAGATGTGAAAATGGACAAGACGATGATTCACAGAATGTGCGCGGCTGGGACAGCGACGGACGCACGCGGAGGCCATCGTACCAGCATCGGGTGGCTGTGCAGCAATGCGATGACGGAATCTCTCTCCATTCCTTCCGCCAGTCCGGTGATATTCAGGGTCTGCAAACGAGGAGGAAACAGCAAAATCAGTCACATGACCGCCAACCTCCATTTACAGGGAACCTCGGATGGTTTTGGGTCACCTGGATTCTTTTTAGGGATTTTAAAGTGAAGATTTTGTATCTTTTTTTAAGCAATTTGTATACAATTTTCATTGATCAAATAAACCCCAGACTGGAAACGCATTGCGCAGCAGCGTTCCCTATCCACAATGTCACCGGGAGCGCGCGCCCCTTATTCATTTATTACAGGTATTTATAGAGCGCTGACAATTTTACACAGTGCTTTACATAGTTGCACATTCACATCAGTCCCTAATATTGAGGAGCTTACAATCTAAGGTCCCTATCTCACATGCATACATAGAGGGCCTACTTAGAGAGGAGCAAATTAACCTTCCAGCGTGACTTTGGAGTGTGGGGAGGAAACCGGAGTACCCGGAGGGAACCCACGCAAGCATGCAGAGAACATGCAAACTCCATGCAGATAGTGACATTTTGTATACAATTTTCATTGATCAAATAAACCCCAGACTGGAAACGCATTGCGCAGCAGCGTTCCCTATCCACAATCTATGATGTCACCGGGAGCGCGCGCCCCTTACCGCCGGAAGGATTGCTTACAATCTAAGGTCCCTATCTCACATGCATACATAGAGGGCCTACTTAGAGAGGAGCAAATTAACCTTCCAGCGTGACTTTGGAGTGTGGGGAGGAAACCGGAGTACCCGGAGGGAACCCACGCAAGCATGCAGAGAACATGCAAACTCCATGCAGATAGTGACATGGCCGGGATTTGAACCGGGGACCCCCAGTGCTGCAAGGCAGAAGCGCTAACCACTCCGCCACTGTGCTGCTTACCGAGGGAACGGCCCAGCCGAATTCCTGCTCCGTCACACCCGTAATGAGTGGAACCGGATTGCTTTCCTTTGCCGCCATGATCTGTTCGGTGGGTTTCGGGAAGAAGATGCCGTCCACGGTTCCCGGGGGACACAGAAATTTCTGCGGGGACAGTAAATAGAAGTGTCATTCACGGGGGAACACCGACCCTGGAGCATGCTGAAACATGTCACTGGCCACACACCCCCGCACACCTCCTCCGCCCCTGCCCCCCCCCCCCACACACACCCCCCTATATGCTGTGATATTTTTGCGAC